CAACAACCAAAAGTGCATATCTGCTTTCAGCCATCATTGCCGCTGAATGAGAATACATTAGGATGATGGTATGAAAGTTACAATAATCTAGCACATAGCATGAAAGGCTTGGAAATGAACTGGGTCTTCAGCGCCCGATTTATGACCAACAATCTCAAAGGAGACACCTACAATAAATTACCAAAGTTGTGAAACGCTTGAAAGTAGATTCGCTGTAGAGAACTGACAATTTCTTTTGAATTTTAAAAAAGGCGTCAGAAAATAATGCGGGCTCAAATTTCTACGGATCGCATCGCAGTCACACGTGCTACTATTCACACTCTGGTTCGCCATGAACCATTGCTGGGCAGATGCCTCGAAGTAAAGAATAATTAGGTTCACATCAATAACCTGCGGTTGTCAGCAACGAAATCTGGTGGTCTGAGTTGTAGCAGCGAGCTACCGCGATGTTTTCCAACACATGCTTGCTCATCATATTGAATCTAAAAGGTATATTTGAAGAGGAAAGTTATTGTGGAAAATTTTGGCGACCTTATTCAGACAACTTACCTTTCTGCTATTGGAATCAAACGTTCAGGTCGGAACGTCCCTTCCGTGTCTATCCACATGCACTTACCTAGAATGAAACAGATTTGAGCATAGCTCACTAAAACTACATGCTGTAGAAAAGAAAGAAACAATTTAAATCCAGTTAGTTATGTTGCTCCACTTTACCAAGTAGATGACAGCAATAATCACCTTCAGCACCTCCCATTGATATTGGCAGCTGGCAAATAACAGCCAGGCTATGGCAGAGTTGGCTTTTACCGGTGCGGTACTCGCCGAAAATCTGAAAAGCCAATGTAGAGAGTAGCCTAGCAAAGAATTATGATCGACCAGGTATTCAGCTGCTCAAAGCGACCAGTCCTCAACCATTTATTTTACTAAGTATGCGTTTAATGCAGAGATAGTAAAAACGAATAATAAAAAACTTGCCTCAGTGATGCAGCCGGTCTCCACCCCTCCACCTATCAATCTGTCTAACGTAGACGATCCGGTTCGAATTTGCACCACCTCGCTGCGTCGCTCGTGTACCTCATAAGCAGTAGTGAAACCCATTGGCACTAATTTCATTGCTTCGTGCTTGAAATGGTTTACTTGACAATTTAAGGCCCGTTCAACAAGGGATTATAAATAATCAACATTATAACAATGGTGAATACAAGACCGTGGAAGATTTGCAGGAGCTAGTCGGTCACGCTGACGTTCTTTGGCTTTGCAAAGCCATATAGCAAGCACGTTTGTATTTGCTCATATTTTGCATTGGCTACGATTTTATTGTGCACACATCGAAAAGCTATTGAGTTCCTAACAATATTCTTTTATTTGTTATATAACTCCCCAGTTCCTGCCATGTTATACTGAAACATTAAGCGCTTTTTCTGATTCTGTTGCAGGGAGATTAAGGTCAGAAAAATAAAGGGAAGACCAACATTTGAAGAAGTGAGTTGAAAAACCAGCAAAGATATCAAATACAATGAAGAAACCAGCAAAAAGGTTAGAAAGCTAAAGATACGGGTCATATTGTGCCCTGTACAGC